GCTTAGCTGCGGTATAATTGCACAGGTAGTCATATTGATTGGCTTATGATGTCAGTTTCAAATCAACATTATTGACACTAGATGACACATTAAGAGCAAATATATTTTCATAAAAGCATTGTAGGAAACATCAGTGAATTCCTCTTTCTGAAATCCTCTCCGTTTGGAAAGATGAATTGAAATTTCGTAGCATGGCATTTTGACAACTGGCAGTACATATTTTTCGCAAGATTATAGGTCATATTCAAATGAATAACTGAATGACAGGAAAACTGATGTGATCTCTTCCACTTTAACCTATAAAAAAAGCACTATTCAAAACAAGATTTTGTCAGTTTATTATAAAAAAATATATGGTTTTGAATTCCATGCAGTCCATTCAATATTTTTTCTCCTTAGGAGCAAGATTTGTTTCTTTGATTTTCCATAATTAAATTTGTAACTTGCATTTAAAAAATATATTGTTTTAAATTACATTGTGTGAATATATCTAGACTAGTAATGAATAAACATGAAATATATTTACATTTATACACTATAAAGTATATTGGACTAACTTTGTTAGATAGCGATGTCAATTTATTTATTAAATTGAAATGGCCAATCGCAACTGCTAAACAAATAGATTTTAAAATGAATGACGTATATTGGACAAATGTTGGCTGGTTATCACAAGAAGGTTTTGCACCCAGAGAAAATCGCCACCTAAACTTCACTTAAAAAATTCAAATTTTAAAAACATACAGGATCACCACCTGTAGAGTTCCCCCATATAGTTGGTTAGTGTGTAGTGTAGGAGCAGTGACAGGCAATGTGTCTGCTTTCCACTGCTTTCTCTGCAATTCCAATCAGTCCCTCCCAACCCCTTCTTCCATAGGATTCCTTCGATCCAATTTTACAATCACACCAACCCCCCTTTACTTCCATCACTTCCGTCCCATCTTAGCAGGGCCGTCTTTAATGAGGGGCAAAAGAGGCAGCTGCCCCAGGCCCAAGCATTCCTAGGGGGCCCAAAGCAGTTGCCCCTTGAGCCCGCCAGCCTCTGTGTTGTGTGCAGCCCGCATGGAACTACCACCGTGAGCTGGATGATGAGGGGGCCCATCGGGTGGCCCATGCTTTTAGGGCCATCCGATGGCAAAGAGTTTGCAGGAGTCCAGTCAGTGCAGTGGCTTTAACAGGGAGACTGGGCCCCCTGTGAGGGCACTAGGAGGAAGTGCAGTCACTTTACCCTAGCTAACACAGAGACTTCCGCGCGGGAGGGAGGAAGAGAGGAGTAGCGCAGAATGGGAAAGAATCTGACACCCAACAGCCTCATCCAGCCACTGGACCCCAGTTACCCTCCCTCACCCAAAAGGTAGGAAACAGGAGGGTGGCTAAAACTGTATATTTTCATTGTGTCTATATATCTGTCTGTGTGGGTATTAGTATTTGCATGTTTCTGTGTGTATATCCGTCTGTATGTGTATATGCATGTGTGTCTATGTATCTGTGTGTGTATCTATCTATGTCTGTTTCTATCTGTATGTGTAACTGTGTGTGTATATGTCTGTATGTGTATCTGTGTGTCTGTACGTGTGTATGTCTGTATGTGTATCTGTGTGCCTGTGTGTGTGATTATGTGTGTATATCTGTCTGTATGTGTATATGCATGTGTCTGTGTATCTGTGTGTATATGTCTGTATGTCTATGTGTGTTTCTGTGTGTGTATCTGTGTGTCTATGTTTTTATGTCTGTATGCGTATCTGTGTGTTTCTGTCTGTGTGTCTGTCTGTATGTGTATATGCATGTGTTTGTGTATCTATGTGTATGTGTGTTTCTGTCTATATGTGTATCTGTGTGTCTATGTGTATCTGTCTGTATGCGTATCTATGTGTGTGTGTCTGTATGTGTTTTCTGTCTGTGTATCTGTCTGTATGTGTATTTGCATGTGTGTCTGTGTATCTGTATATGTGTTTCTGTGTGTATCTGTCTGTATGTGCATGTGTGTTTTTGTTTGTGTATCTGTCTGTATGTGTGTCTGTGTATCTGTGTGCATGCTAGAGGATGGGAGGGAGGGAACCAGGAGGGCCAAGCAAATGCTTGCCCAGGGTCCAATCAACATTAAAGACGGCCCTGCATCTTTGCATCATTATCTTTCATCCCTATGCTCTCATCGCTTATACCCTACCCTATCCTTCCATCACTCCAATCCACTCCTGCCCTTCTCTAACTCATCCCTCCCTAATCCCTTCTCTAAAAGTCACACCTATAATTTATTTCTTACCATCTTTCCTCATGCTCTTATAGCTTCAACCTCTTCCCACCTAATCTTTCATCACTCCAATTCCTCTTTTCTCTTTACTACTGACACCTGAATGCATGTTCCAGATAATGCTTGTTTATATAGGGCAAGCATAGGGTTGAAAGACTCAATATGTTTTACTTTGATTCCTCATCTACATGTTCAGGGCCAGACTGGCCCACCGTGATCCCGGGAAATTTCCCGGTGGGCCGCAGCACCTGGGGCTGGGCTGACAGCCCTATTAATCACTGTTCAGGCTCCTGTAATCCCGGCTGGCCATGTGAGATCTGCGGCCCCATGGGAGCAGGGGCCGACATAGCTCACACATGGCCGGCCGGGATTATATAAAAAAATATATATATTGCAACGGGGGCAGAGCTTAGCATGCTGCGGGGGCAGTGGGGGCAGAACTTACTGTACGGCGGGGGTCCTGGTAACTCCAGCATGGGAAGCAGGAAGGAGTCCATGCTTCCCCATCAACCAGTCTCCAGGAGCTCCAATGTGTGTGTGTGACTGTCTGCCTGTGTGTGTGAGACTGTCTGTCTGTGTGAGTGTGTGACTGTCTGCCTGTGTGTATGTGTGAGACTGTCTGTCTGTGTGAGTGTGTGACTGTCTGCCTGTGTGTATGTGTGAGACTGTCTGCCTGTGTGAGTGTGTGACTGTCTGCCTGTGTGTGTGTGACTGTCTGCCTGTGTGTGTATGTGTGTGTGCGCATGACTGCCTGTGTGTGAGACTGTCTGACTGTGTGAGTTTGTGACTGTCTGCCTATGTGAGTGTATGACTGTCTGCCTGTGTGTGTGTGACTGTCTGCTTGTGTGTGTGTGACTGTCTGCTTGTGTGTGTGACTGTTTGCCTGTGTGTGTGTGTGTGTGTGTGTGTGTATTGTCTGTCTGTGTGTGTGTGGCTGCCTGCCTGTGTGTGTGTTTGACTGTCTGCCTGTGTGTGTGTTTGACTGTCTGCCTGTGTGTGTGTGAGTCTGTGGCTGTCTGCTAAGTGTGTGGCTGCCTGCCTGTGTGTGTGTGTGTGTGTGTGTGACTGTCTGCCTGTGTGTGTGGCTGTCTGTGTGTCTCTGTGAGTGTGGATGTCTGCCTGTGTGTGTGTGGATGTCTTTGTGTGTGTGCATCTGCTAGTGAGTGAGTGAGTCAGCGTCTGTGTGTGTGTGTGTGTGTGTGTGCACATCTGTTAGTGAGTGAGCTTCTGTGTGTGTGTGCATCTTCTAGTGAGAGAGCTTCTGTGTGTGTGCGCCTGCTAGTGAGTTTGTGTTTGTGTGTGTGCCTGCTAGTGAGTGAGCTTGTATGTGTGTCAGTGAGCTTGTCTGTAGGGATCATGTGTGTGTGTGTGTTAGTGGGCTTGTTTGTAGGGAGCATGGGTGTATCTGAGCCCGTCTGGGGTGAGCATGTGTGTGCAGTGAGCTTGTCTGTAGTAAGCATATGTGTGATCTTGAGCTTGTCTGTAGTGACCATATATGTGTTAGTGAGCTCTTCTGTAGGGAGCATGTGTGTGTCAATGGGCTTGTCTGTAGGGAGAGTGTGTGCGCATCAGTGAGCTTGTCTGTAGCGAGCGTGTGTGTGACAGTGAGCTTGTCTGTAGTAAGCTTGTGTGTGTATCAGAGTTTGTCTGTACTAAATTTGTGTGTGTACCAGTAACCTTGTCTGTGTGTGTCATTGAGATTGTCTGTCAATGATCCTATTTGTGTGCATCAGTAATATTGTCTGTGTCTGCATGTGAGTATGCTTTACTGCATAATTTAATTACCCTGAAAGGACTAATATTTTGAATTAGAAAAATAAATATACCAATAATATATATATATATATATATATATATATATATATATACACACAAAACCAAGAGGGCAGCACTCACCTGAACATGCATTCATTATAGGGTGCTGCTGGGGCCAAAATATACAAAATACAGAATCCAGCGCACTCGCTTATTCACTAAACAATGATTTCAAATCTTAGAGATTGTAATAGTTTTATTTAAAAACACCTAACATAGGCAAAAAATAATGGGGGTTTAGTTACATTATATGATCATATATTGCATAAGCCTGCCACACTGTCAATGTACCCCATTCTTGGCAGGTCCTGCACTAGCAGCCTAATGCCTAGGTGTTTTTAAATAAAACTATTACAATCTCTAAGATTTGAAATCTTGGTGATAATGATGAAAGTCAGGATCACTGAAACGTTGATCTATTTTAAAGAACTGGAATAAAAGTTAAATTTTATTGGAAATCCGTGAGTGCAGCCATACTATTTTACCATTTGGATAATTAAGCCTTGGTATTGCATCCGGTGTGGCAAGTTTGAAGCCTGAGTGCAAGGTACATTCTACTTATATATATATATATATATATATATATATATATATATATATATGAAACAAGGGGGGGTTGGCTGCACTCACCTGAACATGCATAAATGGGGGGTGCTGCTGGGGGCCAAATAATACAAAACACAAGATCCAGCGCACTCACCTATGCACTAAACATCAACTTCAATGTTGAAAGATTTTATTAGTTTTTTTAAAAACACCTAATCTAGGCAAAAATAATGGGGGTTTAGTTACATTATATGATCATACATTGCATAAGCCTGCCACAATGTCAATGTACCCCATCTTTGGCAGGTCCTACACTAACAGCCTAATGTCTGCTCTTATGAGATTAACCTACTTGGGGAAATTTTTTTTCCATCTGGGGCTCTCTGCAGTACAAGGCTAAATAGGGCCCTGGGATGAGGCACCTGTGACAGGGAGGGGTGCAAAACCAAGGAGTTGGCTAGACTCCCAAATATATACATATGAAACAAGGGGGGAGTCTAGCCAACTCCTTGGTTTTGCACCCCTCCCTGTCACAGGTGCCTCATCCCAGGGCCCTATTTAGCCTTGTACTGCAGAGAGCCCCAGATGGAATTTTTTTCCTCAAGTAAGTGGTTAATCTCATAAGAGCAGACATTAGGCTGTTAGTGTAGGACCTGCCAAAGATGGGGTACATTGACGTTGTGGCAGGCTTATGCAATGTATGATCATATAATGTAACTAAACCCCCATTATTTTTGCCTAGATTAGGTGTTTTTAAAAAAAAAAACAAATAAAATCTTTCAACATTGAAGTTGCTGTTTAGTGGATAGGTGAGTGCGCTGGATCTTGTGTTTTTATTTATATATATATATATATATATATATATATATATTTACATTATTGGGACATTTCTTTTTCTAATATATATATATATATAACACACACTACATAGCACAATGACTTGTGGGGCTTTTTTCCAGGGTTGCTTCGTATCCCCAGTCCAGCCCTGTACATGTTGATAGGCTATGCAAATGCATGCATCTGTTGCATTAAATTAATAAATAACCAAATTAATTAATTAAATAATTAATTAATGTGGAAACCTGGAAGGTTGTGGTTAGAAAAAAATAAATTTTACAGAGAAAACATAGTGTTGTTAAAATATAATGCAGCTTTTTACTTCACTGTGGATAGGTTAATTGTTTGAAGAAACATACTTACAAAGAAGGTCAGTCTCGGTCTTCAGTCTCACCAACTTGTAAGAAAGAAAGCCTACAGAGAAAAGCTGTAGAGAAGTTCAGATTTATGAAGATTAATTAATATAGAACTTACATATGTCTGATTTTATTTCTCCAGGTGTTGTGGGTTGCAGAAAAGGAAATCCTATTAGTATTAATTCACCAATCAATAACCAAATAGTCTAGTCACTAAAATGTGATTTATTAATTGATGCTTCAATTGAATTTATATATTATTTAGCTATGACTTTCAGTATCTCTGACATCAACGAAATGACTTTGTCATTACTTGTATACCGTCCTCTGAGACATTTTTGAAGAATTTTTCTTGAAGAACTTTGAATTGCTCTACTATTAGCGCAAAAGGTTTTGGGGTCATGGGAAATTTCAAAACAACTTGTAAAAGATAATCAACCTTCCTACTATCATACAGGTTCTAGTCTTTAGGTTAGCAACGTTATCTGCTACTTACAAAATTAGTCACAAACATCATATGATCTCATGCCAGATCTCTCCAGACTGAGGTGGTCATAGTTTGCATTTCAACTACACATGACATGTGCACAGTCGTTATTCGGCATGTGCTAAAACCTTAATAAAATAACTCTGTGACACCATTTCTGTTGGAGTATAAAGTCCACAGCTTTATTAAAAATTGTAATTCAACAATTTAACAATTTAGGGTCATTGTCACAAGTATTAATTATGTCCGACCTTCTTGCCCAATACCCCCGACAATGACCCTACCAAATAACATAATAAAACATTCCAATAATACATAACGTTTAACCCATGGCCTACCAAAGAGGCCCCATAACCATATGTTTAACTGTAGGGGTGTACCCAGACACCCCTACACCCCCAGATTCGTAGCCACCAACGAGCTAGAACCTACAAACCATTTTCCACTCCGGCATAGTCCAGCCTAGACCTTGGCCTGCCCACTTCCTATTCCACCTAAATCCTCTTTAACCCAGGCCCTATTCCCGCCACTGTGACCAAACGGGAAACTACCTACCAAACAAGACAACCGAACACAAAGGGAGGGTGGGAGGGACAAGTATCAAGTAAGTGTGATTTTGATTAAAAAGGCCAGCTCACCAAATTGGCTGTTACTTAAACCCTTATTCTCCTCCCCCCCCTGTCCAGACATTACTTTTCCACACCCCTTGACCTTAACTTCACCTGCCAACTCTCTGGCCCTGTCAAGGCCCACTCCCCTCCTGTGTTGCTCCATGGGCTTCATGACATGTGCACAGTCGTTATTTGGCATGTGCTAAAACCTTAATAAAATAACTCTGTGACACCATTTCTGTTGGAGTATAAAGTCCACAGCTTTATTAAAAATTTTAATTCAACAATTTAACAATTTAGGGTCATTGTCACAAGTATTAATTATGTCCGACCTTCTTGCCCAATACCCCCGACAATGACCCTACCAAATAACATAATAAAACATTCCAATAATACATAACGTTTAACCCATGGCCTACCAAAGAGGCCCCATAACCATATGTTTAACTGTAGGGGTGTACCCAGACACCCCTACACCCCCAGATTCGTAGCCACCAACGAGCTAGAACCTACAAACCATTTTCCACTCCGGCATAGTCCAGCCTAGACCTTGGCCTGCCCACTTCCTATTCCACCTAAATCCTCTTTAACCCAGGCCCTATTCCCGCCGCTGTGACCAAACGGGAAACTACCTACCAAACAAGACAACCGAACACAAAGGGAGGGTGGGAGGGACAAGTATCAAGTAAGTGTGATTTTGATTAAAAAGGCCAGCTCACCAAATTGGCTGTTACTTAAACCCTTATTCTCCTCCCCCCCCTGTCCAGACATTACTTTTCCACACCCCTTGACCTTAACTTCACCTGCCAACTCTCTGGCCCTGTCAAGGCCCACTCCCCTCCTGTGTTTAACTGTAGGGGTGTACCCAGACACCCCTACACCCCCAGATTCGTAGCCACCAACGAGCTAGAACCTACAAACCATTTTCCACTCCGGCATAGTCCAGCCTAGACCTTGGCCTGCCCACTTCCTATTCCACCTAAATCCTCTTTAACCCAGGCCCTATTCCGCCACAGCACATGACTTGACCCCCTCAAGAACATGAGCGACCCCCACCACACAAAAACAGGGCCTGTGCAATACCATCCTGAAAACCCAAATTAAGTAAATCCGATCCCACGTGGGATAGATGAACCCCATCCTAAAATACCCGGGCAGCATACATTCCAACTCCTTGTGACGCACAACTACGCCACCCATCCGCCTCACGAAAACCGCCATGGTCTTATTGACCTTACCCTACTTCGCACTATCGCAGCCGAATCCCTGGCGTGTCTCCAATTAAAGCGAGGCACCATCTCGGACCAGACCACTACCACGCCAGGAACCAGCTTACGTAGCCGATCCAGATCCCTCTTCATCCTCCTCAACAGTTCCCGCTGCGGGATCAAGCCTAAATCGTTCCCCCCACCATGAACCAGAATTACGTTAGGGACTGACCCCCATGCCAGCCTATTGAACAGTTCCTTACTGATGCTCTGCCAACCGAAACCCCGGAAACCCAACCAAGTGAGAACCACCGCCTCCACCGGGAAGCCCAGTTGTGCTCCGTCTCTTCTCATCGCGGCCCTCCTCCGCGCCCAATAAACGTAGGAATGTCCGATCAGCCATACCAAACGACCTAAAAGAAATAGAACAGTGAACAGCAGAGCCCTTAACAAACAACGCCCCAGTCCCCTTTTACACCAACTTGTCCGGTCTAACGTATGAGCGGAACCGAATGGACTCCCATCTTCCTATCTGTTTGATCCGCTCGTCTCCCAGACCTAACCGAGCCGCCTCCGTTGCGGCCCCAATTCTAAACGAATGTGTCCCGAAATGCATGGGTTCCAGGCCCAGCTTACCCAATCCTGCACGAAATATCTTAACGAACTGAAAACGGGACAAAGCCTTACCGTCAGCATGGATGAAGAAACAGCCTTCCTTCTCGGGGCGGACTTCCAAGAATTCGGCGCCACAAGCCACTGGGCAAACCCTAGACCCTGGCAATTTGAACAATGTTACCAAGCTTCCTTTGCCGAATATGTCCGTCTTTGAGCGGCACAACTTGACCTGTACCTTATCTTCACCAATGGTCACATCCCCCAACCGAATCCCACCAACCCCTGCTTTGTTGGTGCTAAGCAGCTCCCCAATACGGAATGCCCCGAAGAATGCCCAGACAAACGCCCCGGAAAACAACACAACTTCATATTTGGAATAACATAATGCCGGTAGAACCTCCACTAGTCCTTGCAGCACCGCGAATGACACTGGCCTCCTCGTATCCACCGATTTCTTACCCCTCCGAAAACCTCTTATGGCTTGCCTGACCAAAAAATGTTTCGTTATATCCTCCCATCCATTAAACTTAAATAGGAAGGCCAACGCCGACATGTGCCTGTCAACCATAGCTGGTGAAGCCTTCCTGGAAAATAGTCGACACAGTACCCATAACAGTATATCTAACCGATGTTCCTCTGAACAGTCCCCTCCCACTTGTGCCACCGACTCTTCCCATTCGTGCCAAACCTTCACATATGCCGCCCAGGTGCCCGGTGCCAGGGAATTCTTTATGAACTCCCCAAGCATGATGTCCCGAGCTGCCACATTTCTGCCGGACATGCCAATCCTTCCTCTTGTGCCTCCGGCGCTGCTTCCCGAAAACGTTCCCACTGTGAACGAGAAAGCGCGTCAGCCACTATATTCAAGAAACCTGGAACATGCCTTGCCCTGAACACTATATTGCTAGACATACATAAAAGTACCAGGTGCCTTAATAACCGTATCACTGCAGGAGATGATGCCGACAACCCATTGATAGCCTGGACCACTGCCATGTTATCTGAGTAAAATACTACTTTTTTGTTTGCGAGCTGCTTTCCCCATAACGCCACCGCTACTACCACCGGGAAAAATTCTAGGAACGCGAGGTTCCTTATCAGCGAGCTCGTCTTCCACTCCGCCGGCCACTCCTCGGCGCACCATTGCCCCGCTAAATAAGCCCCAAACCCCACGCTCCCGGAGGCGTCTGTAAACAAGCCTATGTCCTTGGAGGAAACTCCCGGCTCCCGAAAAAACACTATACCGTTAAATTCCCTTAGAAACCTTTTCCAAACCCCCAGGTCCGCTCTCATATCCGCCGAAACTTTCACGTAATGATTCGGCAACCGCACACCGCTCGTCGCCTGGGCCAGCCGTCGACAAAAAACTCTGCCCATCGGAATCACCCTGCATGCAAAATTAAGACTCCCCAATAGCGACTGCAGCCCTCGCAAAGTCACTTTTCTCGCATGCCACG